TATCCACGGATAATACCACTCATCTACTCCCCATCATAGTAGTGCGATACTACTAGTACTACTACTAGTGTGAATTGCCTTTGAGTATAACCTCATGCTCCTCACACAATTAAGGCCATTGTATGACCTTAATTGTCTATACGTGGTTCCTATAATAATAAGATCAACTGTATATGACTATCAGCCCTAATTATCCCATTAGTACCATATCTAAGCATGATGATGATGATACCATTATATCGTATCCTCCGCTTGATGATAAGGTAGTACCCTCTCAAGAGGTTGTGCATCATTAACCTTCCTCTACCTTCTATACTATTCTCACCACCGAGTTATACTACATTTCAATACTATCACTCAATGATTATCCCTCGTCCCCATACAGATGCAGTTAGGATGACTATGATACGTTTAGGGCAGCCTGATCAAGCGGGCCGAGTCATCGGACTACGGCTCTATTATCGATTGTAATGGCGCGCGCTACTCTTACGCCAGAATATCCGACATGTACCCGGCATGTTGCAGAATTATAAGAGGATGATAATATGAACAAGATAGGATACACATGATCTTAATAAAGTAGACTATCATATTTTCTATATGGGTTACTATCATAATACTATTGCTCAGTGTTAAATAGCTAAAATCAATATTGATAATACTATGGTATCCAGTAGGACGTAATTATCAGGATATATATTGAGGCTGTTGATATGTACATGATATCACTTGTTCGATTAGTTAAGGTTATATTGGGTCACTAGTAGTAGTAGGATACATATTCAGTAGTATATCATTTAAGGTACTTTCAACATGTGTAGTATTAAATAACACAATGATCACCATGAAGATCGTTATTGAGTTATAAGATGTTGGTTAGGTGTGGTATTAAGAAGTATCAATAATTGGGGCACACTCGTAGTACTGCGTTTGTTATCTGCCTCTGATAGCTGATAATTATATTAATAATATATGTATATCGAATAAGATAGTATGGATAGATCGATACAAAGGGAACTTGACGACCACTAACATATATGGGTATCATTACTACCAGTTCTTATGCACACAGATGATGACTTAGATAGTAGTACACTCTACTACTTCCCTTAGTAATACACTAATGCTACTCACTGCTATGTTAGATATATTACTGGCATCATCATCATCGTCACACGAATAATAATGAAGTATGTATTACTAGTGTTGTTGTTGTTGTTGTTATAATACACTTGTACTCATCCAAGGATCTCTTTGTGTTCACCATCATTACTATGTTAGTTTTTGGTTTAATGCTGTTATCTCCAATTATTGAGGCTAACAATAGGGTAGATAATAGTAGGAATAGGAGGAATAGACGTAGACCTAGACAGAGCGGTAGTCGTAATAATGGAGTAAGACCGCCGCCGCCGCCGTCGCTGCCCTCTGGTATACCCAAAGAGCATGGTATATCAACTGCTCCTAGTCCGATAGGTCTTCGATTAACAAGAGTGTAGGTGCTACTGTTAATAAGGAGGTTGATGATTATGATGATGCAGATATGTTGGCAATATACCTCATCATATGAGGAGTGAAGGAGCTTTAATACAATTCTTCTCACGGTATGGGGATATAGCTAAAGTTAATATTGGTAAAGGGCCCAATATAAGAACAGTAACACGACAACAACAACAAGAAGGAGAAGAAGAGTTACCAAGGGATCAGCAACAACAACAGCCGCAGCAGCAACGTGGTAATAGTAGTAGTATGATGACATCTAACTACGGCTTTATACAATACCTCAATGGCTCTAGTGCTGATGCAGCTGTACTTGATATTAAGTAATATGGGCAGTAATAAGTTTATATTATTATCCTTTCTCTTCTTCTTAGTGGACGTCGTAAAGCTGGATTAGAACGGTTAAGGGTTGGTTATGCTAAGACTAAAGCAGGTGTAGATGATATACAAGGTGATGTTGATGCTGTAATAATATTAATAATACTGATATATATATGATATTATTATTAGGAACCATTACCATTATTACCAGAGGATGCTACAGATGAATGTAGAGTATTTATAGCTGGATTCCACAATACAGAGACAGTTGAGATGTTAGGCGATTATCTAAGTCAATGGGGGCTTATAAGTCTACTACAACTAGTAGTTTATTATTACTACTAGAACATGATGATATAAGTATTTTGTCATGTATAGGTTATGGATAAGGATACTGGCCACTCTAAGGGTTTTGGATTTGTCCAATTCGCTTGTCCACAAGGGCCACAGAGGCTCCTTAGTGAGATGATGAATAAAGATATTTATGAACAACAACAACGGAGTAAATCTACAGGAGACCAACAACAACAACAACAAAAGCCTATCTATTACCAACAGCTCATTGTTAGAGGGAGAAAGCTTGATTGCAAGTAGTACTAGTAGTAGTAGACTATGATGATGGTGGCGGTGGTGGTGTATGCAGATATAGAGTATGTAAAGAAGGTGCTTCTACTTCTCCTTCTCATACAGGGGCCGGCCGCCAACAGTTGTTTACTTTAAATGATGAGGAGAAATTAATGTAGGGTATCGATGATAATAAGAAGTATTGTTAGTACAATGATTAATGGTATTAGGTATAAGGATAGAGCTATAGTTAGGCATGTGAGTAAAGTAGAAGAGTCTCGTAATAGAAGAAGTATACATACAGAGGCTCCTCCTCCTCCACCACCACCACCACCTCCTCCTCTACCTCCTCCTCCACAGCAAGAGGACTATGGCTCTTCATTTTCACAAGCATCATTACCACAATATAGACCACCATATCAAGATGATGATGTTCATCATCCACATCATACCACACCATGGCTATCTTCTATTAATACTACCCCTAGTGCTACTAGCTATTCCAATCATCCGCCAACATCATCAAGGGGCTCGTATTGTTATGACGATTATATTGGTGCATCCTATACTGGTGGTCTACAACAGCAGCAGCAGCAGCAAGTAGCTCTTCCTCATCATCCTCCTCCTCCTCCTCTTCAAGCGTCGGGGTATGGGGGTAGTTCATCTCCAACATGGGATGCAACAACAACAACATCAATAACAGGAGGGTATGGTAGGTAAGTAATAGGGTAACCTACCATTAATATCATACAGTACTACTAATAAACATAATCTTAGTTACTATCAACCACCTGCTCCACAACCATCACGGGCTATCACTAATAGTAGTAGTACACTAGAACGTATGAGGAGAGATGATGAGGAGAAAAAGAAGAAGAAGAGGAGAGACTGGCAACAACAACAACAAGAGCAGGAGCAGCAGCAGAGTAGGAAGAGGCAACAAGAGTCAACATCATCATCATCATCACAACCATCACCACATTCCTACATTCCTCATCTTCATCATGAGCATGCGCATGAATATCAACATCAGCAGCAGCAGCAAGTCCGATCAGTGGGATATGACTATGACTATGATGATAGACGTAGTAGGAGGTGTGTACTATTGAGGCCAGCGAGTAATGGTGGCAACAACAACAACAACAATCAAGCTTTGTATAAGGGTTCAGTGATGACAAGTTGGAAACAACAGGATGATAATATACAGCAGAGTAAAAGGCATAAGCGTACATCATCATTTATACCTGTAGCTGGTAGTAATAGTTATTATAATCTATCACATGATATTGTATAAATCAGGTTCATGGTATTCTCTTGACGTGGCTAGGAGTAATACCATCAACTATAGTGATGATGATGATGATTAGTAGTAGTATAAATCTACATACTTCATAACTACACAATACTATAGTAAGGATATTATTCACATTGATAATAGCTGCGTTATTATTAGGTATGCAGGTGCTAAGTCTTCTTGTTCCTACATCGTCGTTGTCGTCGTTACTATACAATTGTACTACTATTCAACTATGGGTCTTGAGGCTCTCCTATCTCTCGAGGTTATTATTATAATAATAATGACAATGACAAACTACTAGAATATGACTAGAACTATGGTTTTACTATCATCTTGTATTATTTTTATTCCTAAAGAGTTGCGTCCGTCTAGTTATAATTATGTCTTCTTCAACAACAACAACAACAACAACAACAACCCATTATGGGAGTAGTGGTGAATCCTCTTATAGTAGTCGAATATTATGACCTTTTCGTTAAACGTAGTTGTTATCATCATAATAATCAACAATATCAGCCATCACTACCATCAATATATCATCCATCACACATACTACTACTTTTCATATATCTACGAGTACAACAACAACAACAGCCCCTCGTCATCAACACTATATAATAAGGTATCAGTTCAGAAAGACTCCACTACCACTGCATGGTATCCTCATATCTAGAGAGTATCTATAACAAGGCTTATCGCCTCTTTATTCCCAATTTAGTTTATACACCTATGTGTTTAGTGGTATTCTTTATTTGCCTTTGATCCATGGATAAATTGCATTATAATGTTGATGTACCCTATTATCGACATTGTGTGGTATTTATTAAATGGTTGTGTTGTCAACACAGTGTTGAAGAAGTTATGGTATAATGATTCTTGTATCATACAACTTGTATGTCTCTTGAAGTAGTATGTCAACCATTATCATCATCATCATCACCTTACTGGTTATCATTATTTACCACGATAATGTGATACTCCCTATGGGGGAGTATACACCATTATTAAACATAGTCAAATGTGATATAAGAACAAAGCCTGCTGGTATCACTGCATCATCATCATCAATGAATAAAGGATGCCATTTACAAGATCATGATGGTTTATGGAGGACGCACCAGTGTGAAGTGATACTATTAATGTTAGTGATAGTTATAGTGTTAGTATTAGGATGGATATGAACTATGGTGTGATCGTTGTCTAAACCCTGATAACTGTCCTAATGGTAATTATCGTATGGGATATGATTGTCATACATGTCCAATGAATTGTGACTTATGTCATGGAGAGGAAGAGTAAATAATACTACCGCCATTGTTATTATCATGCTCTATAATACTAGATACGATTGCGATA